GCCGCCTGGGGCCGCGCCGCGGGACAGGCCCTGCCGCGGGCCCCGGCCGCGGGACAGCCCCGCCATGGGACAGCCGCAGGGCCCCGTAGGTGCGGGGCTGCCACCGCCCTGGTGCGCGACGCGCGTGGGGCAGCGCAGCCTCTCCGGGGAGCCGCAGGGCCGGGGCTCTGACCGCCTCTCCGGGCAGGTATGTACCCGATTCCCAGGTGCCCCATTCCTGATCCCGCTCTCCATAGTCAGGGTGTTACAAAACGCGCTTCCTCCGCGTGTGTTGGGCACCCTGCGAGGGGAGGGACGGCAGCGGCGTACGCGCCAATGCCAATTTTGGGGAGAGTAGCAACAAGGGAACTTGTTTTTGAGATGCTAACAAAGAACAGGTGATTTCATCATTACGGGGGGTGAATCCTGCTTCTCGCCGTGTGTCTGCAAACTTTGGACTCAGCGGGACTCAAGTTGTTGGATAGTCCGGCCCGTTGACCATCGTTGTGGTTGGGTGGTCGGGGCCGTTGTTGCCCGCTGACGCGCGGTGCCCCGGCTCGAGGCTGGGCTGCAGCCGCGGTCTGGGTGTGTGGAGGGCACGTGTTTCTCTTGGTTGATCCAGGCCCCAGCACCGGTGAGCTGGAACCTGAACTGGGCCTGCCGTGGTCAAGATCCTTCTGTTTTCCCTTCACTTATTGCATGGGTATCAACAGTTGGTGAAGATTTCTCAGTAGACTTTTCTATACCCTTGAGATTGTCTGGGTAAAGATAATTATGGGAGCCCTTAATAATATAGAACAATTTCTATGCAGTCTGAAGCAAAAATTTACACTTGAGCTCTCCACAAMGATTGAATTCAACGAGGAGTTTAATTTGTCCCTTTTGTCACTTACTGATGCTCACTTGTGTTTGCTTTTCCTTGTTTTCTTTTGAGAGTCTATCCCTAAGGAAGGATGATCTTGAGCAAGCTCTGTTCTGAAATGGCCCACAAGTCGCTCTACTCTTCTGCGTGGTTTGGAGAACTGGAAATTGCCTTGATTCATTCCTACTGCTTGTAGAGCTTTACCTGTCCTTTCAGGTCCTTTCACTAGATCCTCAGGCTCGAGATCCAAAGGCAGTGATGGTGCCAAGTATATAGTTATCATTTTTTTTATAATGTTTTACAGTTTAATTAAAAAATGTACTACAGCAAGTTGACTACTGCTGTTTGTGCTGCACAAATATGTGATAAGTAATTATAAAATATTTAATTAGAAGTCCTTCTGACCCAAAAGCCAGTAGAGTTACGGCTTTATTCCTTAACTCTTTCCCCCAAAATCTTTCCAGGAATGATTGGTTGTTTCTTGCAGCTTCTTCCCTGGTGATAGGATCAGGCTGTTTAGACTCGGGCTTTAGGCTGAGCTAATGAGTGGGAGGAGAGTATCCTGTAATTTATATGTGAAGGGAGCAGGTTCTTCCTCTCCCTTTTCTAATCCAATGTAACTTCGTGTCCCCCAAAACAAACACTGAAGTCAACCATTTTGTCCTGTGTGTGTAGGTCAAGTTTGAGAAAACACCTGATTACTTAAATCTTCTTGTGTGATCTGTAGGAAGCCGATGCCTTTGTAGTTCAAATGTTTATTATCCTCAGGGAAGCCTATTATATTTTTTTCACCTCAAATTTAAGAATTGTTTTGYTTGAGAGTTTTGTTACCCTCCATATAGAGAGAAGTAGGGTTTTTTCCTCCTTGTACCATGTTTCTTTTTCTACTAAGAGTCTAAGAGGTCTTTTTTTCTACTTAGAACCTTCTACTAAGAGGTCCTAAGAGAAGGTATAATGGGTCATGGAGACAACACAATATAGTCACTAGAATAAYATCAGTTATAAAGGCAACTGCTAATTTCTCTTCCAGTATTTTTCTTGTGCAGTTCAGTTTTAGAAGGAAAAGGACCTTTGAAA